AAAAAAAAAAAAAAAAAATCAAGCATAATAATTTTTGAACAAGTAAAAAGTGCAGCAGAATCTAAAACAATCATAACAATGTAGTTTTTACCTGAAGATCTCTCTGGCATACAATGTCCTTACTCACCTGTTCATGTGAATGCGTAGAGACGTCCCTCCTGTTTATCTGCAGCACCTGGTCCCCCTCATTGAGCCTGGGAATACACAGGTCTGCCGGAGAGCCTGGCGCCACACGGGACACGATGATGGGCATCCCCTGGTCAGCGCCACCCTGAAATAGCACCACGTCACATGATTCACGGTCACAAGTTTTATGCGTAGAGATAGAGGACATCTTTTTCAGTCAATGCCACCAAAAGGATGATGCGTGTGTGTGTGTTATATCTTATTTTTAATCACTGCTTTAAGAGTGATGTGATTTGCATCAGACAGAGGGCACCACTGTCAAGAGTCATGACAAGACAGACTGTAGGTATTGTGAGAAAACAAGCAATTTCAATAAATAAGCAAAGCTGCAACAGTTTCTCACACCAAATAAACCAGACTTAAAAGCAATCATATTTTTTTTCATAAATATTAATGAAAACTCATAGTGAGCAAATATAAATGCTGAAAATCTTAGAAGCCACCTTCTAACCTTCATTTTATAAATTTTATATTTCAAAAATAAAAAGTGAAAAACCTAGTTAAATATGAAATGCTGATAAACAGGAAGAATGTTATGTTCAGATACTTTTTCATTATCCATTCTTCATATACAAGATAATAAAGTGTCTTGAAAAGAACATTAGCATTAATACTGTTCCATAAAATCACTGAATGGTGTCTATGTACAAAGCTAATGCAGATAGGGTAAGTAAGAACAAGTTTACATTTAAGCAAACCTTCATTTCTAAAATATTTTTCAGTTTGCTACCATCATTATTTAAGGTTTAAGACAGAACTAATACTATACATTTTGAATATTGTGATGTAAACCATGATGTTAAGGCATTTTAAGGTATTATTAGTTAGTCTTAGTCTTAGTCTTCATTTGAGCCAACACAGTCCTTTTTAGTCAATCTTTCTTCATTAAATTTAATGACAAAAACTATGCCGATGTTACACCTATGGTAAGTTTGCAGGAAATGTTAGGTCAAATAACATCTATTAGAAATTTAATGAAATCCCTAGAAGTTTCATCTATCTAAAGGATATATAACTATAGTCTATGATGTCACATGCACCATGAACTCATTATCTTTCCAACTTATGTGGTGAGACTTGGAATACGATATTCTATTACATATTTCTGATAAAAATCCCAAAGTTTATATTTAGTGCAAGCAGAAACATCAGGTCAGTTGATATTCTTAAAGTGAAGTTCTATCAAAAGCCTAAGTTCAATGGAATTAAATAGGTCATTTGAAGTTCAATGACCTAAACACACAACATTCAGGTCACTAACATATGATATACCACAATTAGGCCAAATGGCATTTAAAATGACCTAAATATTGGATTTAGGTCCATGGCACTCAGAATGACCTAAATATTGGATTTAGGTCAACGGTGTTGAGTAGATTTCACAAACCTGGTGGGGTCTTGCTGGGTCCCTGCCTCGACAGTTGACCGACTTTACAAAGAAATAATGAATAATTACAGAATTGCATGGTATCACTACAATCACACTGGAATTGGGTTTACTACAGTGAAAATATGCTGTAATAGACGTATCTTGCAAGAGTTTTAGGGCTATAACAGACATTTAACCCCCCCCCCCTTACCGAATGTATTGAGGTCAACTGTTCATTGATTGTTTTACAGATAATCCAAGTTTATATCATCATAAAGCTTATAATACGTTATCAGTCAAGGCAACGCTGTGCTATAAATAGAACTGTGCAGTTAAATAGGGCAGCGTGACCTACAAACAAATTTTCCCATAGCATGATATATAAAATTGAGACCCAACAATACCCCTTTGTTGACTATAAGTGAGTATCATGATGTCAATCACAGTATCTTACACACACGGCATAGAAAGCACTCTGGGGACAAGATGTGACTTTATAACTGTTTCAACAAACTGAAGAAATATCCGACTTAAATTATGCTAAAAACTCTATGCTACAGAATTTGTGCATTTTGCTATAAGCATGTGAAAAAACTGAACAGAAATAGAGCAATATGCAGGGCAAAATGTTGCTATCATTATCATTATATAATCAATTTCATGAATTTGAAATTATACTGTATCTTAGCCATTTCATACAAGGTGAAAATTAATAACACTTAGTCTACTTTATGCTAAAGAGAAGATGCATGCACTTGGAATGTTATACAAGCAATTGACAGTTCAGAGAAAATGATGCAGATTTCAAGATGCAAAACAATTTTCATCTTAAAATNCCCTAAAATGACAAAAAAAAAAAAAAAAAAAAAAAAAGAAAAAAAATTTAAAAAAATCAAGCATAATAATTTTTGAACAAGTAAAAAGAGCAGCAGAATCTAAAACAATCATAACAATGTAGCTTTTACCTGAAGATCTCTCTGGCATACAATGTCCTTACTCACCTGTTCATGTGAATGCGTAGAGACGTCCCTCCTGTTGATCTGCAGCACCTGGTCCCCCTCATTGAGCCTGGGAATACACAGGTCTGCCGGAGAGCCTGGCGCCACACGGGACACGATGATGGGCATCCCCTGGTCAGCACCGCCCTGAAATAGCACCACGTCACATGATTCACAGTCACAAGTTTTATGTGTAGAGATAGAGGACATCTTTTTCAGTCAATGCCACCAAAAGGATGATGCGTGTGTGTGTTATATCTTATTTTTAATCGCTGCTTTAAGAGTGATGTGATTTGCATCAGACAGAGGGCACCACTGTCAAGAGTCATGACAAGACAGTCTGTAGGTGTTGTGAGAAAACAAGCAATTTCAATAAATAAGCAAAGCTGCAACAGTTTCTCACACCAAATAAACCAGACTTAAAAGCAATCATGTTTTTTTTCATAAATATTAATGAAAACTCATAGTGAGCAAATATAAATGCTGAAAATCTTAGAAGCCACCTTCTAACCTTCATTTTATAAATTTTATATTTCAAAAATAAAAAGTGAAAAACCTAGTTAAATATGAAATGCTGATAAACAGGAAGAATGTTATGTTCAGATACTTTTTCATTATCCATTCTTCATATACAAGATAATAAAGTGTCTTGAAAAGAACATTAGCATTAATACCGTTCCATAAAATCACTAAATGGTGTCTATGTACAAAGCTAATGCAGATAGGGTAAGTAAGAACAAGTTTACATTTAAGCAAACCTTCATTTCTAAAATATTTTTCAGTTTGCTACCCTCATTATTAAAGGTTTAAGACAGAACTAATACTATACATTTTGAATATTATGATGTAAACCATGATGTTAAGGCATTTTAAGGTATTAATAATTAGTCTTAGTCTTCATTTGAGCCAACACAGTCCTTTTTAGTCAATCTTTCTCCATTAAAATTAATGACAAAAACTATGCCGATGTTACACCTATGGTAAATTTGCAGGAAATGTTAGGTCAAATAACATCTATTAGAAATTTAATGAAATCCCTAGAAGTTTCATCTATCTAAAGGATATATAACTATAGTCTATGATGTCACATGCACCATGAACTCATTATCTTTCCAACTTATGTGGTGAGACTTGGAATACGATATTCTATTACATATTTCTGATAAAAATCCCAAAGTTTATATTTAGTGCAAGCAGAAACATCAGGTCAGTTGATATTCTTAAAGTGAAGTACTATCAATAGCCTAAGTTCAATGGAATTAAATAGGTCATTTGAAGTTCAATGACCTAAACACACAATATTCAGGTCACTAACATATACCACAATTAGGCCAAATGGCATTTAAAATGACCTAAATATTGGATTTAGGTCCATGGCACTCAGAATGACCTAAATATTGGATTTAGGTCAACGGTGTTGAGTAGATTTCACAAACCTGGTGGGGTCTTGCTGGGTCCCTGCCTCGACAGTTGACCGACTTTACAAAGAAATAATGAATAATTACAGAATTGCATGGTATCACTACAATCACACTGGAATTGGGTTTACTACAGTGAAAATATGCTGTAATAGACGTATCTTGCAAGAGTTTTAGGGCTATAACAGACATTTAACACCCCCCCCCCCCCTTACCGAATGTATTGAGGTCAACTGTTCATTGATTGTTTTACAGATAATCCAAATTTATATCATCATAAAGCTTATAATACGTTATCAGTCAAGGCAACGCTGTGCTATAAATAGAACTGTGCAGTTAAATAGGGCAGCGTGACCTACAAACAAATTTTCGCATAGCATGATATATAAAATTGAGACCCAACAATACCCCTTTGTTGACTATAAGTGAGTATCATGATGTCAATCACAGTATCTTACACACACGGCATAGAAAGCACTCTGGGGACAAGATGTGACTTTATAACTGTTTCAACAAACTGAAGAAATATCCGACTTAAATTATGCTAAAAACTCTATGCTACAGAATTTGTGCATTTTGCTATAAGCATGTGAAAAAACTGAACAGAAATAGAGCAATATGCAGGGCAAAATGTTGCTATCATTATCATTATATAATCAATTTCATGAATTTGAAATTATACTGTATCTTAGCCATTTCATACAAGGTGAAAATTAATAACACTTAGTCTACTTTATGCTAAAGAGAAGATGCATGCACTTGGAATGTTATACAAGCAATCGACAGTTCAGAGAAAATGATGCAGATTTCAAGATGCAAAACAATTTTCATCTTAAAATAATAATAATAATAATAATAATAATAATAATAAAGCCACCATGCACAGCAAGCAAGCTTTTTCTGTATTTGTTAAGAGACAGTCCTAAAGGAACTTTGGTTTAAACAGATCTGCTGTCAACTTCTTTCAATAATGTCATTAATTGAAACATTTAAACATAGCTGATAAAACTCAATGGTCAAAGATTGATTCTGAATCAAAATAATAATACAGTTTCACGTAATAAAAGCTGAAAATTTCAAAAAGGAAAACAAAATTTTACAAATATCAGAAAATATACCTGATATTTTGATATTTTACCAAAATGACCATTAACACAAGAAAAAAGAAGAAAAATTGTTTAAAAAAAGATATGATATTGAAAAAACTTACTTTGACGTTGAATCCAAACCTCCCCTGGTCATCTGGCCTCATTCTGATAACCACCAGTCCTTGACCATCCACAAACCCATTGCCATTTGGCTGGAAAAATACATAAGGCAGTGATCAATACAGGATTCCAAATATGCAATGCAATTTCATTAAGTACGAATTGCACTCTTTGCTTAGTATCATTAAGTTTATCTTCGTGTCAATCTTGAAATTTAACCACCACATTCTGCTTTTCCATGTGCCTGAAAAGTATGACATTATTATTAAGTGACACAGACACAAAGAAAAAGGATAGAGGAATCTCATCTCTTCCTATACACAGCACCTGAAAAGTAACAACTCCTAAGCACCACAACACTTAAACAATTATGCGACATTTTGAGCAGACCTCTATCATCTATCTGGATCTCAGGCGGACTGAATTCTGCTGTCTTGCTCATCAGCTCATTTATAAGCACAATCAAACACAAACATCACACCAAACAAACATTCACAGATAAAACCCAGCCACCCTTTCCACTGAAGCTGACATTTCCTAGAACTAAGACTTGATAACTTTACTCCAATGCCTGGTTTTCAATTTCTCACAACAAGGCAAGAAGTGCCCACAAACCCAGTAATTCCATAAACTTGATACTTGATCTTTTCCATGCATTGCAAAACTGATTTGTTTTGCTTAATTTCATCTATAATCCATACTTCAGACAAAATCTGATCTTTTCTGCAGAGAGTGCATGCCTTCAGAAATCACTGTTACAAAGATCATGTTTTTAAATTGTATACTTCCAGGTAATAGGGGGAGTGGTAGACAAAAGCCGATATATTATAGCTTTGTCAAATGTTTTCTATTCCTATTTTCCCAGAAATTATTGATTTGCCAATCATGAAAACAGTGTTGGACTTGATAGGGAGATTTCTGTTGGCTAAGTCAGTTTTCGCAGTAAGCATAGGTTTCCATTGTAAGGAAAAGGACACTAAATTTCTGACACTGCCACCATCAGCAATGTCAAATATTCTACTGAAACCATTAAACAAAACATAAAAGAGGTGTGTTGATAAAAATACTGAAATCATACAAACAGATAAGATAATGTATCAGTGTTAACAAGTCAACAGTGGGAGTGTCTTTCCATCTGAAGGAAGAGTGCTACTGTACCACCAGACTTAGACCCCATTCCCAGAGATTAGATCGATCTAATTTAGATCGACCTAACTCCCTGGGGGTTCACGCTAAAAAGCTGTCAGCCGAGCGGGCACGAAAGTTAATTACCCCCTTACAACTTGTAGTAGACGGGACGGACATTTAAGCTGGATTATCTGACAGTAATCTAGTGAGACTCCCCGCGGAGATAGATCGATCTAAAAGCTCTGGGAATACGCCCTTAAACCACACAAGATTTCTTTTCTTTCCTTTCCAGTCACAACACAGTCACTTCAAAAGAAGTCTGCTGCACTGATTTCTGGTTAGAAACCACCAACCGAACCAAAACATCACACAGAATCACGAATATAACTTTGGTCACGCAAAGACTGTTCACAGGATTTTCTTTCTGTCTAAAAACAATGTCAGAACACAATGAAAGGGTTCTTTTCTAGTATTAAAAAAAAAAAAAGGAGAGAAAATGTTCAATGTTGATTGCTTTTGATTTATTGGACATCACATGTTCAGCTTAAATAATAATAATAATAATAATAATAATAATAATAATAATAATAATAAAAACACCTGACACCTGAATATTTTAGTTGTGATATCAAAAATATTTCATAAAAGACATTTTTTACACTAAGTAAAAATAAAAATGTCCCATAACATTAAAAAAAATTATATATATTTTGCATTCAGTCTTGATTCAACAGCAGTGTGTTTAAAAATCCAAGAAGTCACCTAATATCAACCCTGCCATCCTGTTTATCCAGGCATTTCACTTCTCCTCACATTATTTCACTGAACACAGTTCCTCTGAGAAAAGATTTAAAGGTCTGTTCAACCGCATGCTTTTTTTTTTTTTTCAGATAAGCTACAAATCGGCATCATGAAATACAGAAATTTTGCACCATGATGGTTAAAATCTCAGGGGGCCTGGCCTGTTTTGTCTTGTTGCTCCTAGCTTATTGAGCTATTACAGCTGTGACCAGACTTGGATTGAGATGAAAACCTTCTTGAAATCTAAATGTTTAAGTAGAGTGGAGTTTGGCTACAATTCAGTGCTTGGATAGAGAGATTTTGGTGCTGTCTAGACAGTGTTTTGCCTCAGACACAGTTAGCATTCTCCTGGCTTTACCCTGATCACATCTTAACATTTATGATATCACATACTGTACATGTTTGTTTTTGTTGTATAACAAGGACACCTGCTTTGAAGTGATGTAAATTACAGGACAGTCAGCTGATAGTTAGCTGCAAAATATTCCAATTATATTTCAGATTCATTAGGGCAAAAAGCCCTATCAACTACAGCTGTACATCTTAAGTTTTTCCCAAATTAGCATTGCTTTGGTGCAATGTTTTGTCACTAATCACAGGAATCAAAATCTATAAAGAGGGACTCCAGTGAGGACTGAACATGGAAACCTGCCCAAAAATATAATAAAACATGGCATCCTCCAAGAACCCCTCCATGTTTGTACCTGAAAATAATTGCAAATGAAGACATCCTGATGTTTGCCGTGTCCTGAAGATTGTCCTAGAAGTCCATTTCCAAATTCCAAACAATTTTAATTTTATCACACAAGGACAATGACTTTCCCACATATTAGCCTGCTGTTAATGGGAGTCTTATTTGCAAGAGAAAACAACTTGCTGTTTGTAGACATATTAATATTCATCGTTCCGGTCCCAGAACTGACAGCATGACATACGTGTGGTTTGAGGAGAGGTGTGTGCTACTGGAAGCCTCTCTCTAATAAGCTATGGCTGCACTTTGGCTCCTCAAGGACAAAGAGACAGCTATCCCTTCAGCCTAGTTTACTTTACCAAAATGCTTCACAACTTACGTTTCTCTGATGAAAATACAACATGCTGTGTCCCCTTTTCTTTTAAAATTATTAATGACTTATTTCTTGATTTTCAATTGTTTTATATCATTAAACTATGTTTTTCTTACATGAAATAATGTCACATATATCCCCATTCTTTTTTGAGAAATCTTTGCATTCACTGGACAAGAAAAAAAAAAATCAATAAAGTGGGAAAAGGAAGAGGGGTCACTTTCACATTTATCTTTGTTCTCATTGCACAAGAACAGAGGAAAAGATTGAAGTGGATGGGAAAAAGGGATTACTTTCACATTCATCTCCAACCTTACCTCTAACTTTTCTCAGGGTTTTGCTTGATACATATTCTCTTTTTTTAAACCTCATTTGCACATCGATAAATAATATATTAGGTAACTTTCTCCCTCTGTCTATTTCTCTCTCTCTCTCAAAGTAACATTAATTTTGTCAGGTGTGCTAAGTATGGCTAATGGAACCCATACATAATTCTGCAAAAGGCCAGATATATATAGTCTCTATGTTTACTTTCTTGGAGCACCACAAATATCTGTAATTGACCATTAAAATAACCCAACATTTTTTATTTCATAACAGACTCTGAGTTAGACATACAGAAACTGCATCATTTTCCACTAAAAACACATCAAAGACAATAACGAGGGATAATTGCTTCTGTTTGTGCTTTGAAAATAGGTATAAACTTTGGGTGAACAGGTGAACACATAAAGTATTAGTCTGTTTTTCTTTTCAAATGCACTTACTGGGTTGGGGTTAGGGGGGTTAAGAGGTAAAAGCAATGTCTGCTAAAAAAAAAAAAAAAAAAAAAAAAAAAAAAAAAACGGTGGTGGGGGCCTCAACTGGACATTTCTTTTAAGAATTATTTCCATGGTTAGGTCTTACTTCAGAAATATCTCTGTGTTTCATATATAACCTTAGCTTTGATATTATTTCATCAACAGCAATATTTGTTCTGCTGCAGAATTTTCTCCAAAAAAAGTAATCATTGGTAATTTTCACACTTTGAAAACCCTCATCTGAGAAGGTTGGTCCTCAGTTTGGCAAACAAGGTTATCTGACCCCATATCCGCAAAAATATTTTCGCAATTCACCAAACCAAAAGAAGTAAATTGCTGAAGTACGTAAATTAAAGGCCATGGCCGCAATTATCTTATATGCTGATATTTCTATATTTGTTGTTTGCAACAGAAATGTGAAACTCCACCATGAACCCAAGCTAAGGATCGATTTCCAAAGCCATTACAGTAATTTTTATCATCTAAAATCAAACACCATTCCAGAGATAAGGCTTTGATACATTTATCACACTAATGGGTTTATAAATTCCAGTAATAACACTGTAAATGAGATCTTCTGGGCCCCTTTCTACAGATAATGCACAGCTTATGATTGATACTGGGGGAAATAATCATCTCATTTATCATGGTATAGCACAAATACACCATTCCTACTTGAGTATATACATAAAAAAAAATAAATAAATAAATAAAAGTTTACACTGAAAACTGTAAAGCACCAATATATTTTGCTTGCAAGTTTTGCAGTTTAATATAGCAGTAAAAAACAGCAATATCTCAATCCATTAGCTTAATTTAAATATATCAATTTGATCTTTTTAACACCACAACTGTAATGTGACAGTTTATTTTTAGGTCTTTATGTATTGTAAAATTGTGCTAATATTGAATATAGAACAGCTTTAAAAAATGGGTCCTGTCCCTCACGCACCTTGAATTATTATTGATATTCAATTTCATTCCACTATTTCATTCATAGATATACTATAATCATTATTTATATAAATAATATATAATCTAGAGAGAACAACAGTTTCAACCCCCCCCTCCACACACACACA